TCCCTACATCATGAAGACAACAGAAAGCATATCACATACCAATACTTGTGAATCGTCCTATAGTAAGCCAAATGGTATGAGAAAAGGAGAATGAACAAATAGTGTATGGACCCTAGTGTAATTTTTTTTTTATATATATACTTACAGTCAATCAAAAATCGTCATGTATGATAAATGTATTAACTTTTTACAATAATTATTTTAAAGTTATATCAATAATAATTTCTAATTAGTTGACAATATAATTTATTTATTTTTACATATAATTCAAACTTGGAATACACATGGAGTAAGCTTAACACTTAGTTAATATAGAAGAAAGTTTTTGTCGCCAATAAAATGGTATGAAAATTACCTGAATTGTCAGAGCGAAATCCAGATTACATAGCTTCAGTCTTTCAATGAAGCCTTCAAATCCTTTTCTTGCAATATAGCTAAATCTGTGTACATCCAAATCTATCTCAAGATAGTTTTCTCCCTGTGAAAGAAATAGCACCAAATTAGGAAACCTTCGACAGTTTGACAGCTCAAAAGAATTTTCAATATAACTCAAGCTTCTTAGAGATGGAATAACATATGCGCATTAATATGCCATCAAATTTGCATGTGAAAATGATGCCAAATAGCGAGACAAATGAAAATGAAACCAATGTCCATGTGAGCTTCTAAAATGCTACAACATAAATAAAGAGATATAAATATAATATGATTCCCAATAATGATCTACTGAAAACTAAACAATTATCAGTCCAATGCAAGATTAAATGTTCCACGAAGAATTTATCGAAGCATGTTAAATTTGTGACTAGAATATGCGTATATTACCAAGTAAAATTCATGTTGTGGACGCGAGAGGACTGGTTTTTCATTGTAAGCATTCATAAGCTTCTTTTCAGTTGTGCTTAAAGAAAGATTCTCCACATTTGCCACCCTGCCTAAAATTTTTAATCTCTCCCTAAAGGGTACAATTGCATCTAGAGGGAAGCCTTTAACTCTCTCCACTTCGTCGTTGATCAATTTCTGTCAAGGAACAAAAGAACACTCACACTTATTAATAAGTGTCTAAAAACTATAGACACTGTTACAGAGGTAACATCTTCTGTAACATGAGGCACAATGGCAGTAAGAAAGGACAGAGCATATCCCCCTTACACTGATATTTTCGCGGAATTGGTCTGGAAGTTCTTTAGAGTATTTTTCAGATAATTTAAAGTACAAAACCACATTCATTCCTTCACCATCATTTTCACTTTGGAAGATAGTGGCAGGATACAATGGTATCTGCATTTCAAAGAGCATAAGTATGTTACAATCTTTGAGGGTAAAAGTCCACATTGTGAAGAACATGTATTCCAACGACATTTTTAAGTACACATGAAATGAAATTATTAATAAAATTCCCATCCAAATACACAATGAGAAGAAACTCTGTACTTTAGGAGCCTAACATAAATTTCACACCTCAGTAATAAGGATTAGATCACGAGAAATATCAATTTAAGTTCAATCTAAAAAAAGGAAACATGCTGTTACCTGAATATTTACAATAAGAATAGAAGGAACATCCCCAGGTATGTTTATTGCAGGAATTTGTACAAAGCGAGCAATATGATCAATTTTTCGTGAAGACAAAAAGAGGTCAGCACCCAGAGGATAGAAAGCAGCACTGCCTGGAGCAAATTCTTTCTTCTTATCCCTGCCAACCATGGAACAAATGAAAATAGAATTATCAAGAATGAAACAGATCTTGATTGTTAACATGAGGAATGACTTCTATATGAGGGACAGAGGACAATCCTAAGAACAGGTTTAATCACCAGAAGAATGTCTAGTCCAAAATATGCATTTGATTGCTACCTCAGGTAGTTTTTTCCTCTGACTCTGAAGGAACTTGGCTCAATTGGTGACCAAGAACAAGGGGTTTGCTTCTCTATTGGACAGAATGGAATCAAAGAACCTGCCAATGGTTTTTGTTTAAATGCCTTAGGGGAAACTGCAATAAAAGATAAGCCATGAATTAGTAACAAGAAAAGACATAACAAAAACTAGCAGCAAATATCTAAAATTGGGAAAGTGCATGATACATGAAGAGCAAATAAAAGAAATAACTAATGCATTATTCCTTCATTTTTTACTTTTCCATAAGCATGGCAATAGAAATAAAAGAAGTTCAATCTCATATGGTAACATGCTATCATAACTTTCACACTTGTCCTAAGAGTCTATTTGATTTGAGAAAAATATATTGTTTTCATTTATAATTACAAAATTGTCAACTTATTTTCACTTTGTTTCCTATTTTCAAAGAATTGTACACAAAATAAAGTGACAACAGGGAGGTATAGTCGTAATGATTTATGAACATAGGAAACAAAAACAGAAAACATTTTCTCAAGCAAAACATACTACTTATTCCAATTGCACAAAACTGGAAAATACAGCAGAACCAAAACACAAAGCAATTATTCCAAGTGAAAAAATATGTAGAACACTCACGTAATGTCATATCTGAAGACCCTTCTCTCCATTTAAAGGAGAGTTTAGAAAGTGATTTTCTCCGCGAAGTTGGTGTATCAGGACTCAATGGCCTTCTCTTTTCAACAGCAAGTGCATTGGAAGAAAGGCAAGGCAAACAGGTATTTGGCAGAATCCCCCAATGATCGGGGGCCAGCTTTCTGTCCTCTCCAATTTCATCTGCATGACCTGTGGACACTTCTCCTGTCGAAACAGAGTCTAACTCAGCTTGAGGGCCATCTGATTTCAATGTACAATCTTTTGGTTTGGTTTGATTCTTAGCAATCTTCAAAGAAGAATTGCTACAAGAATAATTATACGGGTGCACTCTTTTTTACTGTTGTTGGTGATCAACAGACACATAATCAACTCCTCTAGGAGATGAATCAATTGGCCTTGACCTGATTTCACCCTCATTCATAGACACCCCATCTACCAAACATTGAATGTAAAAAAAAATATAACCATGCTGACTATAACATACTAAATAAAAGTAAACTAGCAATTTGATCAAGGTTTTAAAATACAGTTCGCCACCACGATTTCAGTCTCACCCTCAAGGTTTTTGAATCTCCACAACCACAACACCATTTATGCAATTTCCTGCTTTACCAGGGATTATGACAAAACCGTGACCACGTCCCCAATTTAAAACCTTGCATTTCAGTCTCTGTGCCCTGTGTCCCCAATTAAAACCTTGAATTTGAGTCTCTTGGACCACCACATGACTGCAATTGCATCCAATTCAGCCACATTTTCAGCAATTTCCCACACATGACTAGAATTGCAGCCATAGTTGCCCACAATTTCCCACAATATCAAGGATTACATCCAAACAGCAACCATGAACCCAATTTAAAACCTTGAATTTGATACTCAAAATTTATAGATGAAAAGAAAAAAAAAAAAAAAAAGCTAACATACCATCAAAGACACTGTAGAACTCGTCATCACATTCAGAATCCAACGCCGATGTAGAATCAAACCATGCAGCATCTAAAACCAGAAAACAAAAGAAGGATCTTCACTTCAATGTTAATCATCAAATACCCATTAATTTTTTTTTATTATATTTTAGAATCAACTTACACCAAGTACATCCCAATAATTAAACAACAGCGTTCATTAAAACCCCAAAAAAAGAAACTGCAACAATTAAATTAAACAAAACAAGACCAAAAAGGAGTGAAAAGAAAAACCTGAAGCGCGATTAGAAGCTTGCAGAGCGGAGTTGGAGTGAGCAACGTTGTTAGCTTCGATCTTTCTAGAAGAGACGCGTCTTCGGAGGATTCTCCTTCTTCTCCTGCTGCTTCGGTGATTATTCTTCTTCTTCTCCTCGGAGACTCTGGGCCTCGACCCACAAACACCCATTTTTTTGTGTCTATTTTTGGGTGCGACCCTCTTCGTGATTCGCGTTGCTCTGCGCAAAAATCGGTGCTTTTGGGAAGAGGGTGTTGGGAGAATGAATGGGTATGGGATGGGATAGGTCACCTCACCAGCAAAGCATCGTCGTTGAGTCGAGCTGGTGAAGCCTCATTCATTTTCATCATCATCATCATCATCATCATGGGTTCGGTGCAAGTGCCAAACACTGTGGGTCCTATTCGGATTTCATCCAACGGTGCAGATTCAGACACGTGGACGATCCTGTGGAGGGATGATCTTGATCAAGTGTATTTAAGATTGTAAAAAGATAAAAAAAAAATTAATGACACCTTTTTTCTTTTTTCCTACATTCTCGCCAAGTGGGAGAGGGGAACGCAGGAAAATCTTGAACAGATTTCCTTTTCTTTTTGTTATTATAATTAATTGATAATTAATAACTAGTATCTTTTCCTTAAATAATACTATTTAACTAGCGTTTTTAGATTGGTAAAGAATTTTTTTTATATATTTAAAATTTATACTAAAACTAAATACACATTTTGAATGGAAGAGCATCAATTTCATTTTAAGAATAATTTTCTTATAATTACTTTAATTAATAACCCGTGATATGTATTTAAATTTTGATGATTTGATTGGTAAGATAAAAAATCCTTATCGAATGCATTTGCTTTACAAGTTTTTAGACTAGAATATTTCTCTCTTTATATATATATATATATATATATATATATTATAATAACAGTATTAAATTAGAATATTTCTTGCAACTATTATTCAACATGAGTGTTTTTAAGATTTTTTTAATAATTCTTTTATAAAAAAAGAAAAGCTTTCTTAACATCTTATAATTTCAAATTTATTAAACTAGAATATTTCTTGCAACTATTATTCAACATGAAGACCTAGGTTCAATTCTCATTATAATCATTTTTGTAATCTTTCTTATCTTTACTTAAAAAAAAAAAAAAACTACGTTATCAATAGTAAACATCTTCAAGGACAGTTGTTTAGAGTAAGGATGCAACCGTCCCTCCTCGACTTGTATGGGAGCTATATTCAAATTTAAAAACATATAAAGTGTTTTTTTATAACTTAAGTTTTCGTTTTATTGTAAAAAATAGATTTTGTACTAAATAGCTTTTTCCTATAAAAAATATAGGATGACTTGAATATAGAGACTTAATGCATATTAGAACGAGTTAGTTGCCTCACTTTTCTAGTGTTAAGCAGAATTTTAAATTCAAAATACTATCATTATAATTTAATAATAAAAAAAATGTTTGCTATTTGACATGATCTCATACTTGAAACCATGGCTACAAGAGAGTCATTTGCTACACTATGAGCTCATTATAGCTCATCCATTTCGATGATATTATAGTCAATTCCTTTGCATATTCAATATATGACATTTGAGACATTTTGAATGGAGATGGAGAAAAATTACAGTATAACAAAGAATTTATATTGAGACACATGATTATTATTTTTCACAACCGATAATTTCTTTAAAAGAGGTTGAAATTCAATTTAAAAATGAATATGAAAAATATATTTGAAGATATAAGAGATTGAGAAGAAAAAAAATTGAAATGCATTCTTACTATTTTAAAAGAGTCAAACATAAAATTATTAAGAACTAGAAGATGGGGTTGAATGGAAAGAAAGATATAGTAATGGTCAAAATGTTTGGGGAAAAAGAAAATGGAAGTATGTGAGAAAAGGAAGACGAAAGCGTGTGCAAGGGAAAGGGGCGTGCAGACAGTAATGTCTTTGTTTCCGACATGGGCCACTAAACCCACGTGTTCTTATTCTTGGTAAACGTTGCAGGCGCTACCATATTATTCTACTTTATTTTTAATGATTAATTTTTTTCATAAAATAGAGTGGAGAAAATACACGTCAATTTTGTTTATGTTTTAATTTGTATAATAAACATACATATTATTATATATAATTAAAATTTATAATAAATTATATATTATGTTTAAATATATAAAGTATATTTAAAATTAGTATATATAAATATTTTTAAATATATAAATTATATTTTAAATTTATGATAAATAATATGGATTATGATAAAAAAAATTGTTTTATTTATTAATAATTTATTTTAAAATATTGATATTTAATTTATAAATAATTATAATAAATAAAGATCAAATTAAAAAAGAAGTTAAATAAATATTTATAAATTTTCTCGTTGAAAAAAAATCCTAAAAATATTTTTGTATAAGAGGTCTATATTTAATAGATAGGAATTTATTTATTTTTAATATTCTAAGAGTTTGATGGTTATTATTTGATAAGTTGTTAGACTGGGACAAGAAAGTACAAATTATTTAATTTACACTTTTAAGGTGTGTGTGATAAAATTAATTTATAAATTAATTTAAAATTTATAAATTATAAATAATGAATTGAAAGTTATAAACTTATGCCTTAATTAGTTTTAATTTATGAAAAAATTATTTCATTTTTTATTTTTATTTTATTTGTAAGACCCGCACCCTCTGTACTCACAAACTCTCTCTTTCTCATTTTTCTTCTTTTTTCCTTCCATTACTTTATTCTCATTCCTTTTCTTGGCTAAAACTTAGGTGTTAGTGTTTGATTTGAAAGGTGGAGCTATTGAGAATCAAGAAGAGTAGCAAAGCTAGTCTTCCTCCCCGAAACAATTTCATTTCTCTTCTTCTTCTTCTTCTCTTCCTCGAGAGCTCGGAATCAAAATTTTTCTCCCTCCAAGGTAAGGGAAGCTATCATTTGTTGATTTTGGGACAAAATGTTGTATTGTTGCAACAACTTGTTGGTTACATGCTGATTAAATTGGAGTGTGTAGAATTAGAAAGAGAGATTTTGAGTTGTTTGAAGAATGTGATAGATTGAGTCAGATTTCTTGTTGTACGTGGGATTTGTGATGTTTTCTGAGTTGCATGTTGATGATAGGACTGTTTCCTTGCAAGTGCAGGTGTTGGGTCCCTTCAGGTTGTAAGTTTTGATGGATTTTGGGTGAAAAACATGTGGGAAGCCATGGAAGGGCAGAAAGTTTAATCTGAAGCGCTGAATTGAGAGCTGCAGTACTGGGGCTAGATGTCATAATTTGGTCTTAGAGTTTTCATAAAAGTTTTGGCCTTGGATGTTATATTTCCAATGGCACCAAAATCACCCAAAAAGGAGGTCTAGAACTCCAGATATGGTTATTTTAGTGAACAGGGGTTAAGCTGTCAGCATTGATTGTAGCTGTTGCGGTTTTTAAAATTTTTAACAAAGTATATGATAGAATTAGGACTCTATATCTTCGTAATAGTTGTAGGAAATCTTCTTATATTTCATATGAGATAAGTATGAGTATGATAGGAGTAGTATAATTCCAGATATGGTTGTTTTAGTGAACAAAAGTTAAGCTGTCAGCATTGGTTGTAGTTGTTGCGATTTTTAAAATTTTTAACAAAGTAGATGATAGAATTAGAACTTTATATATTCATAAGAGTTGTAGGAAATATTCTTATATTTCATATGAGATAAGGATGAGCATGATAGGAGTAGTATAACTCCAGATATGGCTATTTTAGTGAACAGGGGTTAAGTTGTCAGCATTGGTTGTAGCTGTTACGGTTTTTAAAATTTTTAACAAGGTAGATGATGGAATTAGGACTTGGTGTCTTCATGAGAGTTTTAGGAAATCTTCTTATATTTCATATGAGATAAGAATGAGAATTATAGGAGTATTATAACTTCATAAATGTTGTTTTATGTGAAGTTGTCATTTCACAATAAGTGATTTGGTTAAGTTAAAAGTTATTTTGAATGCTTATGTTGTTTTATGTTATTTGTGTGTGTAAGTTGGCATGATAGATGAGTTGTGAACATGTAGTGTGAGTTTTATTATGTGGTGAAAATGTTGTGTGTTGATAATTGTTGATAAAATATTGAATAATGATGTGGTGGGTGATGCTTTTGTGATGATGATGGGATGTAAACGAGATGTATGAGTAGCGATGATGTGTTGTGAATGTTGTAAGTAGTTAGAGATGATTGCATAGAATGGGTTGATGTGTTTTGTGTTGAAAGATGATGTTGTGTAGCATGATGAGGATACTTAGTAGTGAGATGTGAGATGCATGTTGTAATTGAGTTGTGAGGTTGTGTAGTTGTGTATAGGTGCTAAATGAGTTGAAGAGTTATATGTTGAGTGAGTTGTTGTGCTAAATAGAAATGTGTTGAATATGTGGTATGTTGTTAAAGTTGTTTTATGTTATGTGTGAACTATTTATATGTTGTGAAATATGATGAGATGATATAGTTGAGAGTTGTGAAGTGCATGATGAAAATGTTATGAGTTGTGAGGAGCATGATGTGAAGTGTGCATATGTGTTGAGATTTATACAAAAGTTATTAGTAGACTGTGTTGCTAAGTCGTTAAATGAGAGTTGTATGTTGTTATAATGTTTTATGTTGTACTATGTGTTGAAAAGATATTACTTTATGATGGTTGAGTTGTAAATTGTGAGTTGAGCTTTTAAGCTATTGAGTTGACTGTGTTGTTTAAAGTTGAAATGAGTTGATTGTTGAGCTGATGAGATGATAATTGTGTTGTTGTGCTATGATGATGAGTTGTTGATCACTAGGACTAGGGGAGATGTTTTCAAAGTTGCTCAGCCCAGTGTGTGGATTGAGAGTGTTGTGGTGCTTTGAGAGCCCAATTTGTTGAAAAACCCTCCTTGGGAAGTTGTTCCTTGGAGTGGATGATGTGTTATTTTCCTCTAGGACTTAGTTGATCCCATGTGTGGGCAAGGTCGAGGCACACGTGTATGAAGCGACCACGGTATAGGGGCCAAGTCGAGTTATACCGATTACAAGTGGCCAATTTGAGTAAAGTACGAAGTCAGGAACTTAATTCCTAATTGAGTATCAGAGGGTTGTAGTATTTGGAGGATAGTTAGTAGGTTAATCTCATATGTGGCTTAGTTGAGCTAGCTAATGTCGTGGTAGGCCTAAACCTAGCTGTCCTATCCTAACATAGTACTGTATTACCTTGTTTAAGTGGCAAAGTCTGAGAAACTGTTATTGTGTTGTGGATTTTTATCCAAATTTATTTTTTACCTAGCAAGCCCAAAAAGGTTCTATGTTGTCGGTTTGGTAGGACCTAGCCACTTAAGCTACTCACCCTGTGTTT